AAAAAAAAAGGTTTAATTTAATCTAATAAGAATAGAATAAATTAAAAAAAAAATCGTATTAAAATATTTAGAAATCAGAGTAATTTATCTGTAAAAGAAATTAACAAATTTTGTGTCATACATTTTGTAAATTTTACAATATTTTCTCCTTCATAAATACAGTATTTACTATTTTAAACCTTTCCATTAAAAAAATGATCAAATCATTACGTTACACATGTAACAAATTTCATACATTTTCCTCCTTCATAAATACAGTATTTATTGCTTTTAATTCTCCGTTAAAAAAAAATATCCAATTGTTACATTATACATTTCATTATGTTTTCATTCTTTTTTATCTCTAATGTAGCATTCGTTACTTCCAACTTTACCATTAGACGCGTGCAATATTCATTACCTCGCAACGAAACTACAATTATGAGAAACAGAATTTGTAAAAATTCAAAGCTGTGTCACGGAGATTAAACACGAGAGTTTCTAAGAATTGCAAAGCCAAAAAGGATCATCCGGTTAATTGCTTTATTTAGCAAGCAGAGTAGGCTTGTCGGAAGTCGGCATCCTATCATCGTTACACTTGTATACAGGTGTCTGGTCCTCTGTAATCGTTCGCCAGGCTATTTGCATACTATCCTCGACCCAAATTCAACGCAATCGATCCTGACGCGACAACACATTCTGCTACAAAATCGCCGCGACATTAATATGTATCGATTACCTCGTCTATCATGTCAGTACGAAACTCGAGCTGCCACTTTTTGTCGAACAGATCGCGAATTTATTTATCACCAGATTGAAACGTAAGATTCACTTTTTTGGGCTGATGGTATAATTATCGTCGATTATTCCACACGGAATATTCTCCGTTTAATCCTTTGTCTTTCAACGAGAAGCACGAATATTTCGAAGTTAATGTGTATTATTGATAGAATTTTATTTTGTTACAAATAGTCTGCTATTCTAACGCAAAAAATTTTTAGCTGGGAACAGAAAATTTATGCTAATTTTATTTCTCTTCTTTCTTCTGTGACTGATTGTGGTTATTATTTGGTCTCCTTGCGTTGTCGAACACCGCTTAATTTTTTTAATAATTATACTAATATCTATTTGAATTTGTACCGATGAGAACAAGAAGTTAATGCTAGTTTTATTCCTATTTTTTCTGTGATCAATTGCTAATTTATTATTCCTTACAAATGGCTGTTATGGCTCTTCGTATTATTAAATACCGTTCCATTTTTGAAAATTAGACATCAACTACAGTATCAGTAAAAAACAAAGATTTCAGCACATTCTCCCATTACTGAAAAACTGATAACACATAATTTATTCGATAACCGTAATTTAACAAATACAGATAATTCTTTGAGTCGAAACGAATTTCCAAATGTAACCAGAAACTGGCAGGACACCAGAATACACCTAAGGAATAATTCAAATATCAAACACTAAAATATTAATCCAGTCTACAGTCGTCGTTCATCCCTATGTGGCAGTTTAAACGAACCTCGTCTCCTCTCCATAAATCTCACCAGAAGAAAATTCCAAAGATCACGAAAGCAAAAACAACGAAACTAAAGTGGAAGGAAAAATTACTTTGCAATTTTGCAGTTTCAGATACAAAATCGAGGCTGTCGAAGCTGCTGTCACTTGTGCTATGATTATACGTAAAATAAAGAGAGAAAAAAATAGAATAGTAGATTACATATTAAAAGAAAAATTTCAAACTCTATTTGACGATCTTCTTCTGATTGGAGGACGCGATTAATCGATGGCAGACATTTTTATCCTGCACTGTGGACCACGTAAAACAGGTCATCCAATTATCTTCTCTAGTTTTGGTTGTACGAGAACATTTTTATACGTAATTTAAATGATTTCTAAGGGTGAACAAGATGGAGGACAAATTTTTTTATAAGTGCCATTTTTTCAGTTTCTTTCTTCAAGGTTACCTGTTTCTTTTTTCTTTTACATGAAAGTGTATACTTTTTTCTACTGTATGTTGCAGCAAACATTTATGTGCATAGTAGTATGACCTTAAAATGATTTTGGACTCTAAATTGTGCAACTGTGCAATTTTTTCCATAAAAAAGTGTCTCTTCCATTTTATTCACCCTTTGAAACCATTTAAATTACGTATAACAGTTTTCTCGTACAACCATAGCTGGAGAAGATAATTAGGTGGCCTGTTTTACGTTGCCCACCCTGTACACTGAGTTGGCCAAAAAGTTTCCTCGTATTTTCAATTTGGAGATTTTATAAAATTCCTTGTGCAATCTCTCGTGTGATTTGATGTGAGTTATTCTCAACTAACGCCTGAATTTGACTGTTGTCAACTTTCCTTGGCCTTCCAGAGTGTGTAAGTACTTTGTCTTCGACAGGAAAAATTCCTGCACGAATATTTGGCAAATAAAAATTGCCACCCTATCATACAACATCCTCACTACACATATTTATCTCTTGCTTTGCACTGCGTCGTTATCCTTACTGTAGTAACGCAGCGCAAAATATATAATAAAAACGCATCTTATCCACTTCCATGTCGAACAATCAACAACTTGACACTTCTGTTTCTCAAAACAGACTCATCCAAGTGTCCACTTTCCGATTTTATTTCCTTGAAGATATTCGCATATTTACACATTTGCAAAAAAAAAAAAAGAGAAAAGAAAAACGAAGAAACTTTTCAAAACCAACCCGATACTTCCACACGTGTTCATAGCCCTGAAAAAGTCTTCGATGCATGGTACGCCTAATACTAAGAAATATACATTGCCTTTACTAACATACTGTCCCCTGTATATTTAACGAATAAACAATGATAATTTCCACAACGTGATACAATATCCTCAGACTATGAATTTATGCAAGAAAAAAAAAAAACATGGTTGATCATTTTCTACCAGTAAACTGAAGGAAAAATTGTACATAAATTAAGGTGTTAATAGACGAGCCGTCCGTAGGCGAGAGCAGGGCCAGCAACAGCAAGAACGTCGGCAGATTTGACCGCCTCGTTCGCCAGGTTCAGTTTCTCGTTCAGATGGGCGTTCACGTGGGCAGCCTTCGCCACTGCCACTTCCGGCGTGTCCTGTACCCTTCCGTCGGGACCGATCGGTGCACCAGGGACCACCACGGCGTTGCTGGCCACCAATGGGACGGTTACTGTTGCTGGAGCGGCTGCAACCAGCGTCGCCGATGATCTGGCTGCTTCGTTGGCTAAGTTGATCCTCTCGTTGAGCTGAGCGGCTGCGTGGGCCGCTTTCGCTGCAGCCACTTCCGGCGTGTCTTGTATTCTTCCGTCTGGGCCGACAGTCGCTGCTGGGACCACCGATGCAGCCACTAATCCGTTCGCCACCAGTGGCACGAGCGGTCTGCAATGATTCGATTATTCGGGGGGAGTTTAGAAGAGTTCGTTTTGGAATTTGGAGAGGTGAGTTAGAAGAGTATTGAGAAAAGAACTCTACGAAGAATAAGGGAGGGTGTAGAAAAATATTTAGAAAGTTTTGAACAGTAGTTTTGTTTATAGAATAAATTGTGCTGGCTGTTCTTGTGTTAGAAAGTAATTGTATTTAAATATTAAGAATTAAAGAATTAAGAAGAATTAAGAATTCAAGAAAATTTAAATATAAGAATGAAATTTGAAATGAAACCTTCCAAGAGCTGGAGATTTCTGGGGTTAGTTGTAGATGGCTTTTTTGGTAGATTTAGGCAACGTGGTTTTGTAAAGTGGAAGTTGAGCAAGGGTTAGAGTTATTGCAAAAGTTGAGTGGATTTGAAGAATCTGTACTGTGGCACGAGTAGTCTGTAACGATTTCTTTTTGGAATTCTTTTTAGGTGTCTAAATGAGCACTGACTCTTGACCCTTTAAATTTTAACCTGTATACAAAATTTTTAAGTAACTAAACACAAAATCAGTGAAATGGTACAGATACGTTTTTCACTTTTTTGAAATATTGACTCCAAAATGAAAGTGAAGAGAATAAGAAAATTCGAAGAAAAATTGCTCAAGTTTCAGAGGGTTGATTGAAACAGGTAGTTTGAGGATGTTAGAAGGTTTCTCGAGGATCGAGTAAAATTAGATGGTTGATAGGTTTTGATCTGAGGCATTTGAGGCCTTTGTGTTGAGCATTTTATAGAATTTAACAGGTTCTAGGAGGAATCCTCAGAGATTGAATAGTATTGATTTGTTGGAAAGTGGTAGTTAGGTTAGTAGTTTCTGATTTATGGTAAGTGGATGATTTGGAACCCTTGTGTTGGCCTCTTGGTGAAATTTGATGAGCTATGAAAACAGCTATGCAATTCAATTATTTTCCAAACTTAACCAAACCTACATAATCATTTCTATAACTAATCACGAATCCTTCAAACCCAACAAACCACTCTTAAGATTCAACTCCCAACTCTCTAAAAAAAAAAGCAAAAACTATTTCGCTTAGTCTTTGTCTATCCTATTTCATATACAAACAGATCCATACTCATTGAAGTAAATAAAAATAAACTAAAATAAATTCTAATTCATAATTTTATTTAATTCTTAAATATTACCCTGCTCAAATAAAAATCTAAAACCATCAGAAACCCAACCTCCAACCCAAAAAACCTCACCCTCCCCATTCCAACACCCTTAAAACCCATCTCACATCAAATCACCTTGTCAAATCCGCAGCGATGGACCTTGCAGCTTCGTTCGCCAGATTCACCCTCTCGTGAGCCTGTGCAGCAGCGTGGACAGCCTTGGCCACAGCAACTTCCGGCGTGTCGACGACTCTACCATCCGGTCCAATTGGCGCACCAGATACCAGGACACCCGGTCCAGCCACAACGATAGAAGATTGCTGCGATCGATTCACGATCGGCTGCAAACTTCCCGAAGATCTAACAGCCTCGTCGGCCAGCTTCAATCTCTCGTTCAACTGAGCAGCCGCGTGTTCAGCTCTGGCCACAGCGACTTCCGGCGTGTCCAGAACACGGCCATCGGGTCCAACTGGTGCGGCTGGTGTCAATGTGGCGATCAGAGGCGCTGAGAGGATTCCAGGCTTGGCCAGAGCCACGGAGACCAGTCCTGCCAACAGCAAACCGGCTACCGGTCCCATCTCGATGCCCTTTTCTACTCGACGAGTTTTAGAAGAGAAGAAGAAGATGATAACGACGATGAAGAAGAAGAAGAAGAAGAAGAAGAAGAAGCTTCTAACCGATTTTTCGAAGATCAGCGCCGAATCGACGATTGATCGATTGATCGTGGTCTCTGGACGAGGGGGAGATCGTTTGGACTATGAGCGCTCGAGACTATGAGACGCGTCGTCCTAGATCACCTTTTATAGCTAGTAGATCACGTAACCGTGAGTCTGAAGCCTAGGATTTTTCACGGCGCGGCCGCATGGTGCACGCGTGTTTCCGTTCCCCCGGGGCAAGGTAAGCGTGTTGTAAAACGAGTACAAGCTCTGCGGGCGTAGCCGGGAAAAATCAGTCGGGAGGGCTGCCTCTCCATTTTCGTGGCTCTCTCACCGAGGCACGGGAAGACACACGATCCCGTTGTCATTTCTCTAGCTAGCCAAGCTGGCCCTGGCCACCAAGGTCGCCGACATCGAAGGCCGACGATCGCGTAACCGTTCGTCGCCTCGGTTTGTTTCGCTTAGCTGACGCTCGGCTTGGATCACGTAGCAAGTATATTTTTTTTAAGACCGGCCTGTTGCTAGCTGAGGATTCGGGGTGGATCTGGTCTGGTGTGGCAGACAGTGGTGTCGCCACTAGTGGTACTGTTAACGATAATCTTATCGATAATTTGATATATCGAGAAGATATCATTCAGATGTCGATACGTTCAATTTAATTAATTAATATATTTATCAAATTTCATTGTGAAAGATATTGTATGTACACTGACTGTATTCGAATAAGGCGTGTTTCGTTTCTGACAGCGAGAACCCATTCAACTAGATAAACGAATATAATAATTATGAAAATAATTCTGATGTGCAGCCGAGCAATGGTACTTCAACAGTGTGATACTTTAAGTGATGCAAAATTGGATCTCCTCCTTCTAATGGATCAAAAAATGATGTTTTAATATTTCCCTGGAAAATTAAAGTTTTAATTGCTCCACCTAACGCTG